AATAAAATAATATATATTTTTAATACATTTTAGTTTATTTCAGTTAACTTTTTAGTTTTTAAACTATAATAACCCTGTATATGTGCATTTAAATCAAAATCATTAAATATGATTTTTCCTTGTGTTTATTAAGTGAAAAGCAGTGTAGGAAAATAAGCATTGATATTTTCAACAAACTTTTTACTTTCTGTTTTTGGTAACACTTTACAATAAGGTTCATTAGTTAACTTTAGTTAACTACTTTGGTTAACATGAACTAAGAATGAACAACACTTCTTCAGCATTTATTAATCTTAGTTCATGTTAGTTAATACATTAACTTACATTAACTAATGGAACCTTATTGAAAGTGTTGCCCTTTTTTTCTTTCTGCTTTAGATTTTGAATTTATTTGGCAACAATGACTGTTGAATTTGAAAAGCGTCACTTTTTATAAGCCATTTTAGTGCAGATAAATAAATATCAATATTTTTAATTTCATCTTAAAATATCATTATATTTGAGCTATATTACCCAATATTAATTATTTCTGCTTATCGTACAGTTGAAGTACAACAATCTGCAGTGTTTTGAGCTGTTTTACATGATTGCACCATTGATGTTGATTGTTTTCATGGTCATAATTCAGATTTTTCTTCCTGTTTATGATCAGATAAGTGACATGGGTTGGAGTGCTGTGACTGAACACACGCTGTCTGATATGCTGTACCACGTAGAGACAGATGTAGACGGCCGCCGCAGCCCGCCGTGGGAGGGTTAAAATCATGCCAGGTCCACCACCCATAAGGCTGAAAACATGCTTTTCATGTCCCATTCTCAACAGCACACAGCATTTTTGTTGTGTATTATTAAATCATTTGGTTACAGTTGTATTCTGCCCTTGTTTCTCATGCAGGATCGAAAAAATTCTTCTCATAAGTTGAATCCAGCTAGATGTTTTTGAGGTGTAGGATGATTTATCTTTTATGTAAGCTCATTTAATGGTTACATATTACATTTCTTCATGCTGCAGGTTTGCTTTAGTATCAGTTATACGATTTAATTTCCTTCATACAGCGATCCTTTTCCCATGTAGGCGCTCAAGTCCTGTTTGATTCGACAGTACAGTGACCAGTTCAAGTCTGATGTTCAGTGGTGTGTGATGTGCTGTGTGTTCATTCATGGTTTTTATCAGTTGCTTATTTGTTAATTGGTTTGTAGTCATTCAGATAATTGTAAAATATTATCTTTTTTTTTTTTTTTTGTAAATCATGTTTTATACACAAACTTGTTTTAATAAAGGTATCTAAAGGATTATAAATGGCGTTTTTATTTTCATGCATGTATGTTTTGTGATATTTCTACAGTCACAATTCAGTATTTATTAATGCAACGACCAGACACCATTTGCACACTGATTTTGTCTATGTACAAATTGAGCATATAAAACATAAATCTGGTTTTGTAATATGAAAGCATGAAAATAGACTGATTTTAATTGAGCATATAAAACATAAATTAGTTTTTTTTAATATGAAATAATGAAAATAGATACAATTTGAACACTGATTTTGTCTTTAATGTACAAATTGAGCGTATAAAATATCAATCTTTTTTTAATATGAAAATAGACGATTTGCACACTGATTTTAATTGAGCATATAAAACATAAATTTGGTTTTGTAATATGAAATAATGAAAACACAATTTGAACACTGATTTTGTCTTATGTACAAATTGAGCGTATAAAGTATCAATCTTTTTTCAATATGAAAAAATGAAAATGGACAATTTGCACATTGATTTTGTCTTTTATGTACAAGTTGGACGTATAAAACAAATCTGGTTTTGTATGAAAGCATTAAAATAGACAATTCGCACACTGATTTTAATTGAGCATATAAAACATAAATGTGATTTTTTAATATGAAAAAATGAAAATGGACCATTTGCACACTGATTTGATCTTGTACAAGTTGAACTTATAAAACATAAATGTGGTTTTGTAATATGAAAGCATGAAAACAGACGCAATTTGAACACTGATTTTGTCTTGTGTACAAATTGAGCGTATAAAATATCAATCTTTTTTTTAATATGAAAAAATGAAAATGGACAATTTGCACATTGGTTTTGTCTTTTATGTACAAGTTGGACGTATAAAACAAATCTGGTTTTGTATGAAAGCATTAAAATAGACAATTCGCACACTGATTTTAATTGAGCATATAAAACATAAATGTGATTTTTTAATATGAAAAAATGAAAATGGACCATTTGCACACTGATTTGATCTTGTACAAGTTGAACTTATAAAACATAAATGTGGTTTTGTAATATGAAAGCATGAAAACAGACGCAATTTGAACACTGATTTTGTCTTGTGTACAAATTGAGCGTATAAAATATCAATCTTTTTTTAATATGAAAATAGACGATTTGCACACTGATTTTAATTGAGCATATAAAACATAAATGTGATTTTTTAATATGAAAAAATGAAAATGGACAATTTGCACATTGGTTTTGTCTTTTATGTACAAGTTGGACGTATAAAACATAAATCTGGTTTTGTATGAAAGCATTAAAATAGACAATTTGCACACTGATTTTGTCTTTTATGTACAAATTGAGCGTATAAAATATAAATATTTTTTTTTAATATGAAAAAATTAAAATGGACAATTTGCACACTGATTTGATCTTGTACAAGTTGAACTTATAAAACATAAATGTGGTTTTGTAATATGAAAGCATGAAAACAGACACAATTTGCACACTGATTTTGTCTTTTATTTACATACTGAGCATATAAAAACATCATAAATCCGTCTTTTGTAATATAAAGGCATAAAAAAAAGTACCCAAACCCTTTACACTGTAGGGTTTGTGGAATGCTAAATGTAATTTTTAATATAATAATAAACAAGCTTTCCAGTGAGGAAGCCATCGTGTCTTTTCCATGAATCAGAAATTCTGAGGATAAAAAGGAGGGTGTTTTGTCTAGTCCTCTTCTGCAGAAGTCACTCAGAAGAACCCTGGCTGGATGAGGAGCGACAAATGGGTTCAGCTGACTGCCCCCTGGGCTACAACAACAACAACAGAGATACAAATTACATTTTTTATTATTTTAATAAATTAATTTTATCTGTAAATGACATCCCTTGCTCTCCTTGGCGCGTTTGTGACGTAAGTAGCGAGATTGGATTTGATTCGTAAATAAACCGTTCCTTTTGAATCGGATCTTTTAGATGAATCGCTTCGCTCGATCCGGTTCACAAGATTCATTCACGAATCGAACTGATTCTATTGATTCTGTTGATTTCGGAGAAGATTATCAGTGTATGTCGAATTAAAGTGAAGTCACATTTACCGATATTCGGCGAATTGTCGCGGGCGAAATCAGTTTGTGTCAATAGGAATTGACGCGATTCGGGAATTTCGCTTCAGGGCGAATTATTTGGCAAGTTTTCACAGATTCACTGCGTTGACAAACAGAAAGCTGATAATAGTATTATAAGAACGTTGCTAATACTTGTTTAGCAACTATAAATAGGCTAAATTATCTTGGCGGTTGTTAGTATGTCAAAATGATGAAAGTAGGATGAATGTATAGATGCTTAAGTAGCCTACTTAATCAATGGTAAATAATTACGTTTTTCATTTAATTCAGTAAGTTACATAGCACGTGTGAACACTTAAAGGGATAGTTTTACTTAATTCCTTGCTTTTATTGTTGTGATTAATTCTATGATAATTCCTTTTGTGTAAAGGACTTTGAATTACCATTGTGTATGAAATGTGCTATATAAATAGATGAAAATTTGCTGAAAATGTAGCCTATACCCTCACCCTCAAGTTGTTCCAATCCTGTATGAGTTTCTTTCTTCTGTTAAACATAGAAGATATTTTGAAGAATGTTGATAACCTGGTCCCCATACTATGGAAGTTTCATTACCCACGTTCTTCAAAATATCTTCTTTTATGTTCAACAGAAGAAAGAAACTTGAGGGTGAGTAAATAATGGCAGAATTTTTATTTTTGGGTGAACCATCCTTTTAATGGAGCCTAGAAGCTCAAACATAATGCCCTACAGGGAGACGAGAGGCTGTTCTGTTTGAATTGAAGTGAATGGATGAGATGCTTTAATGTCGAAAAAACTTGTCATAAATCATTAGCATAGCTTCAACATATTTGGCATGACATTCATTTTTAATACCTATTTGTGGAGCTATAAATAACATGCTGCAAAAGTTACAGGAATTTTGCAACAGGTGGGAGTTTTTTTTTTTAATAAAAAAAAAAAATTGGTATTTGTGACTTTTGCAATGTCAGAATTGTAAGATATAAACTCAGAATTATATTTCAGAATTAATAAAAAGGTAATCTCAACTTTTTATCTCGCAATTCCGAGTTTATATATCTTAATTCTGACTTGTGACTTTTTTTCCGGATTTTTTCTTCTCAGAATTCCGAGAATTGCAAGATATAAACTCGGATTTGCAAGAAGTCAGGCTTGTGTATATAAACTCGCAATTGCGAGAAAAAAGCTCAGAATTGTGTCATAAATTTGTAAACAAACTTGAATATTCTGTATAATCAAATTATCGTTAATCACTTTTTATCCCACAATTCTGCCTTTTTCGAGTTTATATCTTACAATTCTGACTTTTTTCTCGCAGTTGCGAGTTTATATCTTGGAATACTTGGAATTATGAGAAACAAATTCAGAATTATTAGAAAAGGTCGCAACTCTTTTTTTTTTAACCCGTTTCGGAAACGGGCTTCCATAACCTTTTTCCATTCAATTTGATGAAAATCTAGTTCGGATCAAGCTCAGTCGGACCTGTTGAGGTGTTTACATGAAATCTTTTCAATCTGATTACTAACCAACTATATGTGTGCATGTAAATATTGCTAGTTTGTGTGTCATAAAGTGCAGCGGCTTCTTACGCGTCTCTTGAAGATTCGGTTCAGCAGCCGGCGCCGGCTGTATTCAGGAGGACTCCGATTGATGAACTGAGTCTCGGAGCTGGTCTGTGGGATGACGATGCTGCGGTCCAGATCTGGTGTTCTTGTTCCACGCGGTCCAAACACATTCAGGTCCTTGAAACACTCGGTCTCAATCATCTAAATGAATTGAATAAAAGCATATATGAATAATTGAGCATAAATTGTCCTTCTTACTCTGATGTTTCTTCCTTACCTCATTCTGCCAGGGCACAGGCACGCTTCCCGTGTTAAACTTGCTGTAGAAATTTTCATCGACCTGATCGAGGCTCACTCCTTTAACCGTAGAGAACTGATCGATGTCCAGGACGTCCGCGCAGTAAACGGCTCTCGGCTGGTGGAGAGAATAACATCACAGGATTGTTTTCAGGTGAAAACCAGCATTCACGTCAGGAAGAAAAAGTGGCGGCACCCATAGGCTAACATTCTGCCTTTTTGCAGAAAAAAATCTAATTAAAACAGTAAAATTAAAAAGTAAAACATCTGGGCATATTATATTAATGTTAATTTTGGTTTCAAACTGATTGATTTTAGGCCTCATTGATCTGAGCTTAAAACTCAGTTTTTGAGTGAAAATGTATTATTTGTGGATAATTCTGGCAGTTTCACTCAAAAACGGAAATGCGTAAGTTCAGATCAACGAGGCCTACGATCAATCATTTCCAAAAAGAATTACAAAACCTGTGGTAACTGAAAGAAAATGAGTTGATAAAAAGATTGAATCCAGCAATATAACATAATGAGAAATTTAGAAGAAATTTTTGTAGGCTGGTCATTTTTGACCAGGAACACTACAGGTGTAACAAGGTGAGTGAAAAAAGTACAAAAATCCTGTGTGAGTCGGTAAGTTTTAGTCCAATGCAAAAACATTAACTATCTTTTTTGGGGAAAAGAAAATTCTTAAAACACATGAGGGTTAATTATCATGGAACTTTTGACAATTTTAATGGCCCTAAAATAGGTTTATTTTTCTTCAATATATAAACTGTTCTTCAAAAGTTTGGAGTCAGAAATATATATATATATATATATATATATTTTTTTTTAATGAAAAAAATAGAAAAATAAAAAAAATTCTATTTCAATTTCAAGTAAATGCTGTTCTTTTGAACTTTCTATTCATTAAAGAATCCTGAAAAATAAAATGTATCCGTTTCCAAAAGATATGAAGCAGCACACGTTTTCAACATGAATAATAATCAGAAATCTCACTTACGTCGGGAACAAAGGGTGGCGGCATCATTCCTGCCTCAAGTCTCGTAAAGTTGATGTCCTTAAAGAACCCGTGACCTTTGATGACCTCTGATCCTCGCCCACATTTGCAGCCCAATCTCTCCTTTGGGTTTTTAGCCAGGAGCTAAATCATAAAACAATTAGAAATATTTATAGTATTCTTTTTAAATAGAAAGTAAGACCTAATCAGAGCGAGTGGTAGATTAGATGAGATCAGATCAGTGAAAACAGAGGAGGATTGTACTGATTCAACAGTGCATAAAATGCAGGCTCACGCTTTTGCAGATGGATTTGGTGTCCTCTTCGAACTTCTTCCCGTAATGCTCGATCGTCTCCTGAACTCGTCTTTCCATCTCCTGTCTCGGCAGTCGTTCTTTGTGGTTGCGGAACGGAGGATTTCCCGCCGTCATCTCATAGATTAGACACCCGAGTCCCCACCAGTCCACACTTACACTATAGTATGTGTTTGTGATCACTTCTGGTGCTAAAGATGTGAAAAATATGAAAACAGGAACATATTGTATAAAGAAAATGAAACTATTGTAGGACTATTAAGAATTTTTTGTGGTTTATTATTTTGATGGTAATTAAACATTACCACATAGTTATCATTATCTTAATGGTCCTAAAAATAGGCTTATTTTTGAAAGAAATGTATATTTCTGTTCAGCAGGGATGCATTAAATTGATCAAAAGTGCCAGTAAAGATATTTATAAATGCTGTTCTTTCTATTCATCAAAGAATCCTGAAAAATAAAATGAATCACAGTTTCCAGACAAATATTGTGCAGCACAACTGTGTTCAACATTGATAATAATCAGAAATGTTTCTTGAGCAGCAAAGCAGCATATTAGAATGATTTCTGAAGATCATGTGACACTGAAGGCTGGAGTAATGATGCTGAAAATACAGCTTTGATCACAGACATAAATGTCATGTTACTGTATATTCACAGAGAAAACAGATTTTACTATTTTTACTGTACTTTTTATCAAATAAATCAAGCCTTAGTGAGCAGAAGAGACTTCTTGCAAATACATAAAAAACCTTTTGAATGGTGTGTGTG